GATCGGTAACTTTTGTATTAGCAGAATGCAAATGGAACGTTCTAGTTTGAAGTAGTGTAGCGAGGCATAACTGCAACTATTCAGTTGAGAAATTTACAAAAAAATTTTAATAGCTAGCTCGTTGGTGTTTTGGACAACATGAAGCTTCAAAAATCAGGAAGCTTTAACTGGGATATGGTTCTAAGTCGGCCGTGTGCGTTAGTCGTTAGCATCTTCAAGTGCCACTAGCTTGGATTACGTGACGCATTTAAGCAAAAAATAAAACCAAGTTTGACCGCTTAAGGATGGGATTTCCGCTGCCAGGATATCATCTGCAAAACATCTAAAATAGCCCTAATAATGGCACAAGTTTGATGGTATATTGAAGAATATGCAATAGAGGGCTAATCAGTGCAGTGAGAAGTAGTGTTTTGATAATTTCTTGCAAAATTTTCCGGACAACGTTACATTTATTCAAATGGATGGGGAAATGACACAGCTCCACGCAAAACATAGTTATCAAAGTTAAGCAGCTAAAAGAAGAGATAATTGTTAACAGTAAAGTAAAGGCACATTAGCTCAACTTAATTTTTTTAATCACTTTTTGCTAGGTCACATGTAAAACCTTGTCAGTGTTTGTTCTTTTATAAAATTACGACTGGCAAAGAAATTCCAATTTCTTATCAGTTGATAAGCGGGAACTGTCAGCAGCCGACTCTCTCTCGTCTTCTCAAGGACCTCGCAATGCCCTTGTATATTCTTATTTTTTTCCTCCTATCATTCATTCCGCTGCAGTATGCGCATCAATTCGATGCCCAGTTAAGTGATATTATTGAAATTCTGATTAGCAAGAGGAAAGCCACGGCCTTTGGAGTGAATGTTGGAGCGCGCGAAAAAGAGGAAGAAAGCGGAGAAGACGGTCTTTTTGCAATAGAAGTTGATGGAGATGACCGCGATAAGGTCTGGAGCTTGGCTGAAAACTCTGGATTTGTCATCAAAAAAGTAAGCGTACAGGATTTCTTCTTAAAGTTTTTTTATTACTATAGTAGATAGGATTATCAAGCGAACTTCTAATCATTGACTAATATAGGTTTAAAAAAAGTGTTCTTATGTCTGGCTCTGTCAGCTTTAAAAATATTTGCATACTCTCTTTTTTGGTATAGG